TTATTTTTAAGAGCATTGAAAGAGTATTAAAAGAGCATTAAATTAGAGTTACTTATTCCTGTATAAACCCTGTATAAGGTAAAGAGTTTTAAAAAGCCCCTAGATCAGATGGATTAATGATGGGAGGAGCACAGCACATTTTGTTTGTTAAAAATACCATTCAGTCACATTCTGACAAATAAACATGTGATCATTCTTCAATAATCATGTTTTACTTCTGTTCTTATCTGTCCAAATTTCTTTAGATTTTTCTGGAGGTACATAGAACAAACAGCCTTATACGGTGGCAGCCATTCAAATAGGCCCTTCCCAGGGAAATGCCATCCAAATGGCAGCCCCTGCCACTAGAGTGACCCCCTCCTTCCCCTGGGCAGCCATATTTTTTCACTCTGACTCCACCCTTTCACTGAACCACAGGGTGTGAACAGGAGATGATGCTTCTGTTTAGATCTTAATGTCCACAAATCATGACAGAAGGAATATTTTTGTACAAATATTGATTTATCAAAAAGGAATTGTAGGGGACAAGCAAAGGGCCCATCAAGGAAAGTGGGGAAATTTTGAATGACTGCTACTATAGGATAACAGGACTGGGGGGTATGATGTATGTCGAAATTTATTAGTCCAGCCCTGATTCAATCCCATGACATTCAAATTAATCCAAAAGATCTGTTTAATCTCTGGTTTTATTTGAACCCAATTCTAAAATGTTACATGTCTAGTATATTTTTTTTCTTTTTCTCTTGTTTGTTTAAACAATTAAAGTCAATTCTAACTCGACTTACTGTTATCATTCATCCAACCCTGTTATAATCAACTTTTTTACTGGCTACAACGTTTTACTTTTTGTTTAAAACAACACATATTAGATTAACGATGCTGAAGACTTGTAAAAAAAAAAACATTAAAATCATTATCCAATATTAACCTTAAAGAGTATTTTCATTAAGTACATTAAGTCACCACCTTCTACTTGACACTGAATACATTATAACTTCAAGTAATGAGGTGAAATAAACTTACGATATTTTACACAAGCAACAGGAAATAAAAAGACAGCTGGAAGAATATGTTTGAGTATCTTCAAGAGCTATAAAGGAATTAATTTCTCTCACTACAGGGTTAAATCTAAATAACAGAGAGCTTAATGTTTGAGTTTTTTCATGCTCAAGTTGGGACAACATGTAGATTAAGTGCTAAAAAACACAATATTTTGTGGCATACCTTCTGGGAACCCAAACCGTGCTGAATCTTGAAAACAACCCCTAAAAAAGCACTGAAGATATCTAAAGAGAAATCTCCTCACCTCTGTGCAGCCGCAGCTGTTTGGTAGGTCCATCAGTGGCTTTCCTTGAGTGATACAAATTATTCAGGTCAGGGCAGGAAACACCATTTTGCAGTGGAAACTTCTGTGTTTACACCTTGAAGCTTTCTCTCTCCAGTTGTTTTCCTTAGAAGAGATCACTCTGAACAAACTCTTTAAATAACACTTCATTATGTTTATGTCTTAAACAACAATAAGACAGGATGACATATTTTGACAGAAACTGTCATCTTAATTAGTCTGGAGAAGTTTCTCAGGGTTACAGAAGGCAGCGCTTACCAACCGGGCTCACATTTTGTTTGAGTGGCCTCGAATGACAGTTAAAGAAGCATTTTATACAACTACAGTATTTCACATGACCACATCATACATGTTTGTAAATGAGAAACATCCATGGCTCCAGCCTTATCAAAATATTACACTTTGCTTTAAGATAAAAGACACTGCTCTCTTTCCATTCCCAAACATTTGTTACATACATAATGAAGATAATTGTATATCAGGACAGAGGATCTGTCCTGATTAAATAAACTATTTGGAAAAAAAAAATTGTTGTGACATGCAACAGACAGGCATTATTAGGGTTTAACAGACTCAAACATCATGAATCAGAATAACCCTAACAACATGTACATACACATTTTTGTCACATAATAAAGCATAACACAATAAAGTTCCCATTTTATTCTAAATAAGAGCATTTTTACAGATTTGGAAATATTTGAGTGTTTAGTCCAACCCTTTCTTCTCTAATTCATTTAGTCATGCATTTTTCCCCACTGCGTTCATCCCTTATGCAACAAAGCACTCCCTAGATTTAACCACAAGCACTTGCTGAGTCGTCCATCCCGATCTCGCTGAACAAAAGTATACTGGTAGAAGAATAGCAATGTGCGTTCAAAGACAGTGCCATCAGTTGCATTGGAGCTTCTGTTGACAAACATTGTTGGGTGGAGGTGATGCAGAAAAATAAAGTTTTCAAATTAATAGCTTTTGCTACTGTCCAGCTTCCCTCCAGGAGGAATGTAATAAAACTTCGAAAGCTGTTATCTCCTTTAAGTAGCCTACTGCAGAGAGTGCCAACAATGGAATAGTCATATCCTCCTCAATATGTTTTTTTATATTTACATAAATTTGACATTGGAAAGCTCACGCTGCATCCTTTCGGGATCTATAAATTACTGCTTTGGCCTGATCTCTTCAAATTACTCTGCTGTGTGGTTTTTGCCTCTTTTAGAAAACTAAAACTAAAATTAGATGAATTCATCTTCAGCATGTTTTTTTTGTTTCAACATTAAGCATTACACCTTTTGCTTTAAAAAAAAATGATAAGATGTAAAGGCGTTCTATTTAAAACATAGAAATAATTACCCTTTTTAGGAGATCATTTTACAAATGAGTATTTCTGAATTATGCTTCTCAAGATTTTCAAAAACAGCTACATTGCTTAAAACGTAATATTGTATCTTTATGGAAAGTGCTAATAAAACTTTTATTTTATTAACTATATTTAATGTATATTACCGTATGTTGTTTCTTTTTCTTTGGCAGCCATGGATGCACCTGTGAACCTGACAGCCAGTGAAGTGAACCACCGCAGCGCTCTTATTTCCTGGCAGCCTCCAGTCGCAGAAATTGATAACTACATGCTGACTTACAAAACTCCTGATGGCAACCGTAAAGTAAGTTATGTCCTCCAGTTTCACTTAAAGTTTAACAAACATAAAATAATAATATATCTAAAAATATCTAAGGTCAAAATTACTGTCAAAGTTCAGTATTTGTAATACATAGTAGAATAAATCTAAAGATTAATGCATTTTTTAAAATAGAAAGTAAATAAAAACGTAAATGGCATCCAAGAACTGGGTTTATTCTGATTATTTCTACACATTGAAAAATTTGAGGTAAAAAATCCGATAAGCAGCTCTTCAATTATACACTAGACAAATATATTTATTTTTCACTCAAACTGGATGTGGGCTCTTCACTGACACTGACAGATTGTTTTTCACACCAAAGGGAGCCACATGAGAAAATGGCTTTCGGGGAGTAGTATCACTCTAATATGCCTCAGTAGAGATATTGTTAAATTTGATTAAGGGATTTGATGTGACTGAGCGATTGTAATGAAGTCCATTACTAAGAGCTTTTTGCTTTAATAAACACAGAGATCTGATATAGCAATGATCCACATTTTTTCTACCTCTTTTTAAAACATCCCTTAACCATGTCACTTTATACTGTAAGAGTGGACTTGATTGGAGATTATAAGACAAAAAAGTGTTCCCCTATCCTCTTTTTTCATCTTGCAAATGCACACTGAAATGACTGTTGTGTGAATAAATAAATATCCTCTAGCTCAGTGGAAAAAAAACCCTCTCTTTCTTTCTCTCTTTCTCTCTCTCAATAGCACACTGTCATATCTTCCTCAATATTTTTTTTTTTTTTTTATATATATATATATATATACTTCCACAAATTTGACATTGGAAAGCTTACGTTGCACCCTTTTGGGAT